CTGGCCAACATGGTGAAACCTGTCTCTACTAAAAATACAAAAATTAGCTGAGTGTGGTGGTGGGCGCCTGTAATCCCAGGTACTCAGGAGGCTGAGGCAGGAGAATCACGTGAACCCGGGCGGTGGAGGTTGCAGTGAGCTGAGATCGTGTCGCTGCATTCCACCCTGGCGACAGAGTGAGACTCCATCTCAAAATCAAAAAAAAAAAGAAAAGAAAAATAATTTTCTTTTTGGTGAGTTTATCTTGTTCTTTTCAAAAAGAAATTAAACAGTTGAAGTATTTTGTTCAGACCAGTTCTTTCTGAGACCTCTCTACCAAATGCCAAAATCTGAAATCACAACTCAAGGGATTTCCCCCAATACAGGTCTCCCAAGGACAAATTAAACATAGTGCTTGTTAACATTAAGTGCTTGCTATGTATTATACTCGTGCTATGTGTAGCATTCTCACTTAATATTCACAGAACTCCATGAGTCAAGTCCTGTGACTACTGTCCTCACTGTACGTAGCTTCGACAGATTAAGACTTGTTGAAATGACACCATTGGCAAGTGGCTGAGCCGGGATCTGAACGTGGGCTTCCGGGCACCAAACGCACACCCCACTGTGGGTACAGACCTCCTTCCGCACGCATGTTGCTTCCGACCTGGAAAGCGCCTTTCACGGCTCCCCGCACTGTTGGCCTCAGCATGGTGTTTCCTGTGGACAGGAAAAATGATCCCAGTCCCGCCTCTTTGAGTGTCTTCCCCACGTGTCTTATTTTCCCCTTCTAAAAATAAATGCTCATGTTGTCTCATCCAAGAAAACTCACAGCCTTTCTCAGTTCGCCTGTCCTCTCTGCTCTTTCCTGTTCAAAATTTCCACTCATGCTTCCACGTTCTTACCTTAAGGTCTGCAATCTCGTTTCTGCACCCAGATCCACTGAAACTGTCTTTTTCAAAAATGACCCCATGTTGCTCCATCCAATGGCCTTTCCCCATCTCATTCCACTTGATTTCTCAGCGTCTGGCCCGCAGCCAGGCTCCTCCTGCCTCTCGGGCACCCAGGAGCCTCCCCCACCCCACACACCCCACACTTTCCTTTCCTCCTGGACCCCCTTCATGGCCCCGCCTCACCCAGAGGCCTCCACCCTTCTGCTTGTGTGACATTCACAACCCGACGTCGTCACACTTTTCCATCTGAGCTGCTCAGAGGTTCACAGCCCTGACTGACACATTTGCTCAGTTATTTCACCTGAACTTCTTGGAGGTGCCTTGTAATCAGCAGGTCCAAAGCAAACTCATGTTCAGCCTTCAAAACCTGGTTTTCTCCCTAGCATAGGTCCTGCCTTTGTTAGGAAAAGTCTAGGAACCGTGGAATCATCTCAGCTCTAATCCAGTCCTCACTCCTGTGGGCCCAGTGTCCCTGCAGTCCAAGCCGTCGAGTGTCTCAGGTCTGCACGGAGCCTCCCAGGTCTGTGTCCAGGGTGCTGCTTCCCGCACCCCGGCACCTCATCCTCCGCGCCCCATGCACAGGGGTCCTTCTGAGCTTCCATCCCGCGAGCCCCTGATCAAGAACTTGCCGTGCTTTTCTTTTGCCTGTAGCATAACGTCAAGCTCTTCGGGGTGTCCTCACACCTTCCCAGCCTGTGTCCTCAAACTTCTCTCCCAGAATGCTTTTCCTCGATATCCTCTGCTCTCCAGACAGCGCTCACTCCCCGCCTCCAAGCTGGCGCACGCTCTAGGTTTGCTTTGAGTATTTTGCATGAAAAATATCTATGTTCCAGCCTTTGTCCGCAGCACCCTGTAGACATGGGTGCTACTCCTACCCTCTTACGGAAGGCCTCTCTCACACTTCCGAGCACCCAGACTTACGCGGCAGGGCCATCTTACTGAGATGCCTTCTTCGTGTTCTGTTTGGGAAGCCTTCAGTGGCAATCCTTGCAAACCTGCCCAGCCCTGGTTATAGCAAAGAATGGGTAGAGTCAAGTGGACGAGAACCAGAGGAGGCTGTCCTGGGGGTCAGGGCCAGCCGCATTGAGAGCCAGGAGGTTGTCCTGGCAGTTGGGGTCAGCTGCACTGGGACCAGGGCAGAGGAGAGCCAGAAAAGGTTGTCCACATGGGGTTGGGGTGACCCTGTCAGGACCCAGGCCAGTGTCATGCGTCTGGGCACACTGGCTCTCACTCTCAGCTGGCCATGGGTCAGCCACTGCAGCACCACCTGCCACAGGCTCAGGGAAGAACCGTCACCAGCATGGAGAAGGACAAGCCCTGCTCAGAGGCCACTGTGAGTGGCCTCTTAGTGCTCCATGGACTCCAGCTGGAGCGGGAGTCACACTTCGGGGACACCATCAGCACCAGGGCAGCCAAGCAAGGGTTTCTGAGCTGCTGCAGTCAGGACCCCAGAGATGGCTTGTTGGCAAAACTGTGAGGCAGCCCAGATGTGAGCGCCAACAGGGAGGTGCAAATGTGGTTCCCCACAAAACGTGCAGTTAGGGAACAACATGCCTTGATCTCCTGCAAGGACACAGAAAGCCCAAAGGACACTTTTACCCTGAATATGGAAATAATCTGGAAAGAAACCATTTTCTGAAATCCAGTCATTGATTGTGACGTTATTTGGAATGTGTATTGAGAGGTGTTCTAAGAACTTGGGTTTTGCAGGTGGAATACTACACACGCGTGTGTGCACAGATGTGTGCTTCACTAGTGCTGTCAGCGTGTTCCATTTTCCGTTTAACGCAGTGAAAGAAGCACTTCTTACATTTGGGAGCTTCTGTCAGATCCCACTTACAGAAATGAAAAGATGCTCTCTGTATTTCGAATGAGCACATTTAGTATGAAAAAAATGTTCTTAAATATCTCCTTAGCACAACCTGCGTAGAATCCTTACTGCTTTCAAAAGAGACGGTTTACCTTGTGTACTTGGAAGCCTGTTGAGATGGATCTAAATGGCTGAGGCCAGAGGCCCATTCAGGAGTTGCCTAAGTTACGTACGTTTGTTCTCGTAACAACCTAAGTCACAGAGGAGGTTTTCAGGCTGGATTCAGCAAGCAGGTCTGGAACATCCACAGTGGCAAGGACAAGGCTGAACAGCAGGAGCCCTGCTGCCGTCTCCTGGGACTGCGGAGTCACCTGACCGGCTTTCCCTCTCACTGTGTGTGGGTGACAGTCTGAGGGGGGCACCATCCTAAAGGCAGAAGTAGAACAAAAACATTTCTGTGTCGTTCTAGAAAACTTTTCACTTTTTAAAAAAATTTTCTAAGCTATGTAAGTCTATATAGCAAACTTTGTTTTCGTTTCTGACAGCTGGGATGCCATGGGAGTTACCACCTGGAGGGATAATCACAGGGGCTGAAAGTCAGCTTCAGAATGGCCGGGGACGTCCGGGGAGCATTTTCGGGGGGAGAGCCAGGCAGAGTCTGTGGGGCAGGCTGTGCTGGGGGCTTCACCGTGTGTCACATGGCAGAGCGGCCAGAGGGTGCATCCCCTAGTCTTGATGGGTCCCCCGACCCCAGTCCCAGTTCTTGAGTTTTGATCTGTGGCTGTGGAGGACAGCTGGCCTTTTGGGACTCCGTATGATAAAATGCTAAGCCATTATAATATGTTTTAAAAGCCTCTTAAGGCAAATGAGGCTGGGGTTTTCTTTGTTGTTTTTGAACTATTAAAAAGTCTGTGGTATCAAAGGATGGGATCTTTTGGGCTCCATGTTCCTGTGACTCAGCAGCTGTGACCTTGGGATTTTAAGCATGAACCCCGAGCCAGGCTGCATGGACTCAGAAGGGAGCGCTGCCCCCACCCCGCCTGAGCCTGCGCACGCGGCCTGGTGCTATGGCACATCTCATGCCACGTTCGTAGGAGGAGGGTTGGGAGGAGGCCTGGTTGATAGGACTAATGTAAAAATTAAATGGGTTAGGACAGTGCAAAACACTTACTGGCATCTCTGGTGTAATCATGCATTACACCAAAGTGTTAGCCATTGTGAGTCTGTGTCTTAAAAAAATTACTAGCTTTCTTCAGTGGTAACATTTATGTGTCACACCCTGTTTTGAAACAGAGAATAATTGATAGAATACGTATTTGAGACACAGACTCACAAAATACATGGATGCACCTGTGAGGGCCGCCCAGCAACCACCACCGGGGTCACGAGCCATGGCTCTGAGCTACTCACTTCATTCGCGCACCAGGCACTGGTTAGAAACTGTGGACACCAGATCCAGAGGACGGGAATCCTTCTTTTAGGTTTTCTCTGTCTAGAAGGCAACCTCAATTTGAGAATGTTAAAATGCAAAGCGGTGGTATTAATCAGAAGGGACAGCTGTTACATTGGAAGAAAATTGGTAACTATTAGAAACTGAAGCTAGGTTGGATCTTTGGTTGCCAAACATCAGCAAGGTTCTTCCATGCTTTTAATATTTCACAAAATGGCAAGAAGGAAGACCAGAGAACACTGATTTTTTTCAGGGAGTTTGGAAGAAAACAACCGTGGTGATAATAAAATGGATTTCAGTCAGCTTCCTCCTCCTGTTATCTTTGCTGATGTTGCATAACCTGGACAACTTGGCATAAGTTAAAACTGAAAGTGAGCCTTGTATTTTTCTCTGTTATTTTTTAAAAATATGTAAAGTTGCCAGAGAGCTAATCATTTCTGTGAGACCCTCAGTCTTTTGGCTTCAGTTCAGGAGCTGAGATTGCTATTGTGCTTTGTGAGTTGCCACAGCTTTGAGCACTTCTTTAATTTTTTAATATGGAATGATCCTAATTTCACTACCTGGCCATAAAATCTCAGGTTTCAAAGGCAATTTTGTAAATAGCCTCCCCTATTACTTTTGATGAAATTCACATTCATAAATGTGAATCTCCGAATATTTGCAGAAGGCAAAGTTATCCATCAAAAGACAGAGACAGTGCAGCCAGAATTGTGACAGGAGCATCTCGGTGTGGGTGAACGGTCATCCCCATCTCTGGCCTGCGGTGGGTGCTCACAGAATGCCTTTTCTCCTTTCTTCTTTCCTGTAGCCAGAGCTACCTGCAAGCTGCCAGCGACGTGCCTGTTGGCCACAGCCTGGACCCCGCCGCGAACTACAACTCCCCGAAATTCCGCTCCCGGAACCAGAGCTACATGAGGGCCGTCAGCACCCTGAGCCAGGCCAGCTGCGTGAGCCAGGTCGGGGTCCCTTCGCCCTTTCTCCCTGGGGTCCAGTCTCCCGAGCCAGCTGGCCTCGCGAGGCCCTGGCTGCACAGGCAGGGCTGGCACTGCCCTCCCGGTCAGCAGCGCTCGTGCGAGACCACGGCGCAGGGGGTTCCACCTGGAATCAGCTCTGGCTGATTAAACACTCGTGACCTTAACGCTCTTCCACACTTGCAATTCTATATCCTTTTTGCATTGTTGATTTTTTTCGGAGGAAGCAGCGACAGAAAGGCTGGTCATGTCGGCCTCTCTCCTTCATAAAGCACAGGCTTTCTTCCTTCTCCCCAGGATATTTGTACAGTATAAAGGGGCCGGGAAAGGCTCTGGCAGTGTGGCTTTCAGCTGTGTCCCCAGAATTGCGCCTCAGAAGGTCGTGCGAGGGGACCGCCTGGTGTCACTCACAGACACCTGCTGGTCAGGCTCATTCCAGGACAGGACTTATTTCAGGACAGGCACAGCGGCCATGAGAAGGGTCCCTGGGCACCATGGCAGGGGTGGTGTGAAAATTAGGTCCCTGAGACGTGGGGGCTGTGAAAGGGAGGTCCCCCTGCTCCCCCACCCATGGTGGACAGGGCTGAGAATGCACAGCGACAAAATGGGCAGGTGTCAGTGATTCTAATCATCCTATATTATACAGCAAAGAAGAATGGATATTTTATCGTTTTAAGTAAACTCCTTGCTTACTAATTTAAATGCCTTTGAAAACGGTACTTGAGCTGACCTTGAGTTTGTACACCTAACGTTTTCTCTGACTTTGTGTGGAGTAGGGATTAAGAGCCTGGGCTTTCCACGCCCTCCTGTGATGCAGTTAGAGGGTGACAAAGTATGCAAGGAATTTTGGATGTTATTAGGTAAAGAGTCCAGAATATAGTAAGCACTGAAAAATGATAGCCCTTATTATCACTGTGATAACAGTAAGAAGTAGCGTGGCTCTGGGCAGGCCTCCTGGCTGCAGACCGTGCTGTGAGCTCTGGGTAGCACGCCCCGCATGCATAAGCACAAGTCTCTCCTGCTGCAGACTTTACATTCCTTAGGAGATAGGCTATTCATTTTCTCACCAGAAAGTTGTACTCTGAACTTTGTCCACTGAACTATTAAGGTTTTTTCTATTCCACACCTCAGGAAGGATACCACCTCTTTTATCTACTCAGATACTCCTTTTCTTCCAGAAATGGGGTTAAGTTCTCATCTTCAGCAGGATCTGCACTGACTTTTTTCTAACGGCAAGGAAAGACCATCCCCGGCCCTGCACTCAAGTCCTGGGCAAACAGGAATGGTGGGTCATCCAGCCCTACTCCCAGCCAGCCACCCCCCCCGCCCTACAAACAATAACAACTGATCCTCAGCAACCAGATAATTGTAATTATTTAATCACTGAGGAAACATTCTATTTCAGCATAAAGTCCAAGATGATTCTGGGAGACACTAATTAACTAAACAGTAACTGAAAGTCAATGACACATTGTACCGACTTTTTCCCTGCACAGGGAAGAGGACACAGTAGACTTCCTTTTTTTAGAGCTATCACCTTCCCTTTCAGTTGATATAACCTAGTTTACCAAAATACAGCTTTTAAATAGTATAACCCAACAAAAGGTCTAAGCAGAAGCGCAAAGTTGTCTCATCAGAGATACAGGCATGCATCTCTAATGCTTGCCACAAACTGGTTTCAGTTAAATGGATTTCACGTCTCTTTAAATGCTCTTAGGAACCCGTAAGAGGCTCTCTGTGGCTTGTCATTTTGGGGGTAAATGTAAGCTAAATATACTCATTCTCTCGTCATCCTGCTTTCGATGAACCCAAGATGGTATCTACAAAAATAAGTCGGTAAAAATAACATTTTCTCGCATCTTTTTCTGTCTGAAAGGATTCATCATTGGAAACAATGGTTAAGCAGACATGTTGGGGGTTGGGGGTTTATTTAATGACTTTGAAATTTAGAATTCTAAGTCATTCGCATGGCAGAGTTCCGTGGCATGACTTTAAACTGAACTCAGTATTGAATTATTTAAAGATATATATATACTGTTATTTAAAATAATCCTGAACGCTGGTGGTAGATGGGACTATATCACACCCAGAAACACACTTCTACGATTGTCCAGCCGTAGGCCACGAAATCCAACAATTTAGGAAGGAGGGGGCAGTTGCCGTGGACCAGGGTGGGACGTGTGGAATCACTAACACTTCGGACTCGGGAGAGACGTGAATTTGATGACAAACCAAAGTTTGTTAAAAGTTTGCACTTTATCTTTAACACTCAATTTTTTTCTAAGCACAAAAAAGGAATTTAAAATCGAACCGAAGTCTTGTGAGAGATGCTGATGTCTATGCCATTTCCTGACTGCAACCTCAGTAGCTGGGCTCTGCTTGGGCTTCCTGCAGCTCATGAACTCATGAGAGGGGGTCCAGGTGCCCCCCAGAGTCTCGGCGGGAGGTCCGTGTGTCCCCCAGTCTCGGCGGGAGGTCCATGTATCCCCCAGAGGCTCGGCGGGAGGTCCGGGTGTCCTGAGTGTCTCAGCCAGGAGGTCTGAGTGTCTGTCCCCCCAACCTCCAGAGAGTCTAGTGGGAGGTCCAGGTGTCCCGAGAATCTCGGCAGGAGGTCTGGGTGTCATGAGAGTCTCAGCGGGAGGTCTGGGTGTCCCTAGAGTCTCAGCGGGAGGTCTGGGTGTCCTGAGTGTCTCAGCGGGAGGTCTGGGTGTCCCTAAAGTCTCAGCGGGAGGTCTGGGTGTCCCTAGAGTCTCAGTGGGAGGTCTGGGTGTCCTTAGTGTCTCAGCGGGAGGTCTGGGTGTCCTGAGTGTCTCAGCGGGAGGCCTGGGTGTCCCTAGAGTCTCAGCGGGAGGTCTGGGTGTCCTGAGTGTCTCAGCGGGAGGTCTGGGTGTCACGAGTGTCTCAACCAGGATGTTCAGGTGTCCGCCCCCCGCCACCACCACCTCCAGAGTCTCGGCAGGAAGTCTGTGTGTCCCGAGAGTTTTGGGAGGTCTGAGTGAACGATCATTTTAATTCCCCGCTGGACCAACTTCAGATGCTCCTCACTGTTCATTTGTTTGAGGGAGGAGGAGTCCCCTTCATGTCTAGAACCTCATTGACAAGCCTTTGTAGCTGGAAGCAAAGCCGAGGGTCCTGCTGAGATGTCGGCTTCTGTTTTTGAAATGCACACACCAGGTTAATGGGTTCTCTTCTTCAGGAGTGAGGGCAGCAGGGTGGGGCTTGCAGAAGGGTGTCCACTGAGGCGTACACAGGCCTTACACAGATGCTGACCTCACGCTATCTACAATAGATCTTTGACATGAATGACACAATCTAAGGCTTTACTGTAAAATTCTACTTCAGTGAAAACTTAGATTGGAAGAAATTCATGGTCCAGAAAAACGTCCTATTTCCAAGCCAGTCTGCGTGTTTCCAAGCACTTTGCTGGGTTCCTGAGGCCACCTCACTAGCTGTATCCTGGTTGTGCCTGCCTGAGTTTGTCTGTCTCTGTCCTGCGTCAGGAATCCTCAGACCTTTCCAGAAAAGGCCATCCCACCAGCGTTGTGCCAACTCTTTCTCCAGCCCAGCGTTGGTGTGTCCCCCTGCAGGTGGCTTCAGGTTCCACTGCCCTTTGCTCACCCTCTGTCTCTCCAGGGCTGGTGCTGAGTTAGGCTCACTCAGACTTTTTGAGCAGAGGGGCCGTCCTTCCAGCACATAGGTAACCTCAGGGCAAAACCAGAGAGGTCCACGGGTCTGAACTTGGAGACGGCAGCGGCGTGCCTGCGAGACAGAGAACCTGATTCTTTGACCTTGCCTTTTACTCTGCTGACAACTAGAGGAAAAGACTAATCTGGTGTTAAATCAGTGTATTTTTAAAATGTATCTGCCAGCATAATCCAGGGGTTTCAGGAAGCTGTTGGTGCTTTGGGCTTTCACACATCCCTTGGAGAACCAAGAAGAGAGAGAATCTGAATGGGAGTGGTGAAGGGAGAAAGGGAGAGGGGGAAAGGAAGGGAGGGAAGGAGGGAGGGAAGGAGGGAGGGGAGGAGGGAGGGGAGGAGGGAGGGAAGGAGGGAGGGGAGGAGGGAGGGAAGGAGGGAGGGGAGGAGGGAGGGAACGGCACACAGAGACAGAGACAAGAGGGAGGGAGGGAGCAAAATAGCATCTGGTTTTGAAGGAAAACTGAGCAAAGACAGAGAAGTGAGCGTTTGCTGACAGCTTACAGCTAGGTCCCTGATGTGAATGTGTCCAGCATGGCAGAACCCCAGCGTCTCCCCAGCTGCATATGGGGGACCACCCTGGAGAAAGTGACCACCCAGCTGAGGTCTGCAGCTGTGGAGAGCAAAGGGGACGGAAGTCGGGAGAGATTATGGCAGAGAAAAGGGGTCAGCTGGTTTATCCTCAGAAGCAAAAGAGATGGAGGGTGGTTTGGGGGGTGGCATAACTTTCTGCAACTTGAGCGTGTGGCTACAGTTCAGGAAAGGGGTGCAGAATCCGTCTGGTGGGGAGCAGTGGCTGGACCCCGGAGGGCCGTGCTGAGGAATCTGTGCTCAGCCCCAACCTTGTGCTGGTGAAAACATCAAACTGAAATGGTGCTAGGCTAAGACAGACATACACAGTCAAGGGCAGCTCTGAGGATGTGGCAGGGCGGAGGACAGGGACAGAAGAAGGCCAAAGCACAAAGGAGAAACTGAGGCCCGAGAGCAGCAGGTGGGCTTGAAGGGTGAATCCAGATGCCTGGGACCTGCCGGAGGTCCAGGCGGACTCCTGGGTTTCCAGCCAAGGTCTCTGCAGCAGGAGGGGTGGGACGAGGAGATGACCCACAGGTGGAAGGAGGCCGTGTCTGCACCGTGGGGCTGCTCCTGCCCCTTCCCCAAGCCCCGATGCTTCCGGAGAGCCTGGCCCTCGTTCGTAGGTGTCACGAACAAGCATCCCAATTGCACATGCATGTTGACATGTGTGAGATGTGCCCTGGGGGAGACCCAAAGGCCATGATGAGAACTGAAAGAGAGGGGTCACTGGTCACGGTCCCAGTCACCTGGTTTCCCTCTGTGCTGTGCCATGGCCTCTGTCTCTGAGGCCTGTGTAATCAGCCCGTGTTCAGCTTTCCATTCTGAAAATCCTAATTCCTTCCACCTGGTCTCTGCAACACTGTTTCAGTCCAATATTCTACTTTGTTGAGTTTCCATTTAAAACCTCCCCATTTGGGCCAGGCGCAGTGGCTCATGCCTAAAATCCCAGCACTCCCGAAGGAGGCCGAGGCGGGTGGATCACCTGAGGCCCAAGTTCAAGACCAGCCTTGCCAATATGGCAAAACCCTATCTCTACGAAAAATACATGGTTATTAGCCAGGCATGGTGGCTAATTATGGGCTCCTGTAATCCCAGCTACTCAGGAGGCTGAGGCAGGAGAATTGCCTGAACCTGGGAGATGGAGGTAGCAGTGAGCTGAGATCACACCCCTGCACTCCAGCCTGGGCAACAAGGCAAGACCCCCTCTCAAAACAAACAAACAAACAAAACCAAAATATCCAGATTTGGCTCATGGGAATGCACCAGAACGGCCACCAGGAGACCCAGGGGCCACACATTGCCTCCTGGTCTACCACCCTAAGCCACGGCGGTGACTCACCCAGTAGCCACACCAGCGTGGGCACATCCACTGAGATCCCCACCACTCAAGCCATGATGAGTTTTCTTCAAATGCAGTTGAAACATTTAGGGCCCCAGGGTCTGAAAAAGAACTGAGGAGTCTATGCACTTAATGTGCTTTCCCTGACACGGCCTCAGCACCTGGAGCCATCGTGCCATAAGTAGCCTGAAAGGTGAGACCGTCATGTGGGGAGAGAGAAAGGAGAAATCGATTCTGAACACTTACTTGTACCAGCTACTTTGCTAATCTTTTACAAGTTCTGCCTCTCTTAAACGTTGTAATAACTGTCAGCCATACCTTGAAGGTTCGCCTGGTGGGTCCCCAGAACTTCATCAACACTTGGAATTGGCTGTTTGCCTCAGTGTTTCGTAAGGGATGAGCCAATGATTCGTTTCCCAAGCTCAGCCAATGTCAACGCTGATTTCAAGTTAGCTCTGCTGAAATATGAGGCCATGAAGGGGTGCCCTGCAGTGAGTGTGCCCTCCCGGCTCTCTCTAACGCGGCAATAGTGACCCTGGAGGGCCGGGGCATCATGTGTGCTGTTGATGATTGCAGGTGAGCGAGGCGGAGGTCAATGGACAGTTTGAATCCGTATGCGAGTCCGTCTTCAGCGAAGTCGAATCTCAGGCCATGGACGCCCTTGACCTCCCGGGATGTTTCCGAACAAGGAGTCACAGCTACCTTCGAGCCATTCAAGCTGGATACTCCCAAGATGACGAATGTATCCCCATGATGACACCCTCCGACATCACCTCCACCATCAGGTCAACAGCAGGTAAGAGAATGCCACTTTGAGCCTCCCGCAGGGACTCTGCAGGTGCACCTCCCTTTATCCCAGAAGGAGCAGGTGCCCGCAGCACCACAGGTACAGTGTGCTCTCCTGACATAAGTAACGTTTCCTGATTGCATTTGTCACACCGTTGCATTTGCAAGCGTGCTTTATCTCTTAGAAATAACCTTTCTTTTTCTTAGAGTGAAATATACTAATTATCAAGCTTCCTGAAAATGATCAAGTATAACTTTTAGAAAGTTTTATAGATTAGAAAAAAAATAGAAGGGCTAACATTTTGAAGGTGATCAAGTTTTAAATTACAAAGTTTAATGGGTCGCACGGAGATTTTGGCTGATGAGCGGCCGTCACTGCCAGGCTTCCCGTAGCGACGTCCGGCCGGTCTCTTGCTCAGTAAGCAGATCTGCAAACATGACTCGCTGCCACTGAGCAGGTCCATCATTAGCACAGATGCACTAATCATTTTAGACCTCTGAAGATGTCGCAATGGCCTATAGTTCTCATGCAAAACCATACCCACCCCTTTGAAAATTTACCATCCAACCTAAGTATCACTGCCTAATATTTTCTGCCTAATATGTTATTATTTCTATAACATGATGAATGTACATGGCCTGGAGAAACCCATAAAACACAGCAAGCAATAAAAGCTCGCCTCGCGGCACACAGCAGCTAAGGAGAGGAGCTATAGAATAACGCAGTGATAGGGAGCGAGGTGGTCTGACTACCAGAGGGTCTAGAGTGCTGCAGCACTCAGGAATTTAAAGGACAGCTCTGCGGGGAAATAGAACACAGTTACGTTCATGATAAGTCACATTAGCAACAGCAGACACAATAGGAGAGAAGCAAAGAGAAGTTCAGGCAGGACTGTGAGACCCGTGAATAGGTCTTGGTTTGTTTCAGGGCTGAAGTGAACAAGAATTCCAGGAGATTGCACTTCGCAGAATTACAGATTGCAGAGTCACACCACAGTATACAATCAGTACCATCCCTGTGCTTTGTGGAGAATATTGTGTAGCAGCGTCTGTGGATGGAGGAGGAGGACGTGAATTCACGCGGCGTTCCATCCCCTCCCGTCCCCGCTGTAAGCCCCTGGGCTTGTTCTCTTTGCTGACTCTCGGCTTCCGCGGTATTTAGAAGAAGTTGTAGCCATGGATAATTTAGTCACACAAGCTTAAAGGTTATTTTTCAAAGAAAGCTGTGGGTTCTCGGTGTGCTTTTTATGTGGCGGAGCTTTCTTCCACGCCGAGCCATGGGCTTGGGGAGAAAGGCAGCAGATCCCAGCTCTCTGGCTTCACCAGCAGGGCTTGGTGTGCGAGGGAGGGCGGCGCCAGGACCTGCCCGAGGGAAACCCACTGGGCCTGACAACACAGCCCCGAGGCGCAGGCAGCGGGTGGGCGGCTCGTGGGTGGCGGGTGTGGCCTCCTGTGGTCCTCTGGTGTGGCCTGCTCTACTCACCCCTGCCCCGCGGTGAAGCGTGGGCTAGTTCTCACATGCTCTGTCCTGATGTGAACATAGAAAAAATTAGAATCAGGGAAGTGATGAGATTTACAGTTACTGCATTGAAAAACAACACTCCAAGAGATCATTACTCACGTCTTGGCCAGGATTTGTTTACTGTCTCTTAGGAGCAAGTAAACGATTAAGCACTTGCATGGTCTTCAGAAATGCTTTGAAACAATGATTACCTCAGAGAAAAGGACTTTACTGTTTTCAGGACTGTCTTTATAGTGAGAATAAAAATAAAACAGATTTTACAGAGATAAGAAACAGTTCTGAGTTCAGACTAAAATTTTAATTTATATGGATGGAATTTTTACCATGTATATGTTGTACTCCAAAAATGCACATACCAAATAAATCACACAGAAAAAAAGATTCTATTCAGAGTTTCTACTGGATCTTTGCCTAGTTTTGAGTCAGAATTTCCTCTAAGTGATGCAGGGGACTGTCCGAGTTATGGGAGAGTCTGAGAATCCCATGAATAAAGACATGAAAAGCACTGAGGGAGCTATGTAGCACTGTAGGGTGACAAGGTACCCTGTGAGGAAATACACGTACAGATTACTCATCAGCCTCTCCTGTTTCGCATTTTACCCTAAGTATTGTATATTAAATATTTAAATCTTCATTTACTAAATAAAATGTAGATGACATACAATATAGTCTATTCAATAAGGTTATAAAGAAATGAAAAATCCCTGTCTGGGAAAACAAAATTATGTAGGAAAACTATCAAAACGTACAGGACATAAGTGCCTAGATAATTGTGACAGCTAACTTTCAACTTTGATCCAAAGCTTCCTGTCAGTAAGTCAAGTGGATTTCAAATTTTTCTACTTAAATACTTCTTACTTTTATATATAAATACTTGGAAATTAATATACTAACACGTTCAATAGCTATCCTTCACTGATACATGTATATGTGTGCCTGTGTGTATAGGGAGAGAGGTTATTTTGACAGATTGATTTTCGTTTATGAGTTTCTTTCTAAAACTAGCTCATGAAAATAATTCCAAAGAGTTATTTTTGAAAACATTCCAAAGTGAGTACTTTGAAGAGTAAGATTTATTTATACATGTTACTTTATGCAGGCTCAAAAGATAAAAGTTGGTGTTATTATTAGATTACTTCACCTTGTATAAATACAAATGTATAATATTCACATAATAAATTAAATACTGAATATATGCATGAAAGATGTACTGAGAATTTAAAAATACGTATTAGACCATCTGTTGTTTTTTTTAATTTTTGCATTTTAAGTTCTGGGTACATGTGCAGATCTTGCAAGATTGTTTACATAAGTACACACATGCCATGCCTGGCGATTTCCTGCATCCACCCCTCATCACCTGCATTAGGTATTTAGCAAAGACTTGACCAACGCAAATGCCCATCAAGAATAGACTCGATAAAGACCGTCTGTTTTAAACACGGACAGGATGATGTTCCCGGAGGGTGCTTGTTGGTTTGGGGATACCGAGTTCACCTGCTTTTTCACTCAACCTTTAAAGGCAGCTGCTGATTCAGCTGAATAGAGCCTTTTAATCTACTTGCCGGCCAACTCAAATAAGAACAGGATAAACATCCCCACACTGCATCAGCGTTCCCTCATCCCCCTGTTTCTCTCATTTTGGAAAATGCTGCATATTGATTAGTGTCTTCTCCTTAAATGAAGTGGTTTTGAAAACATCTAACTTTCATTTCACACATGGCTTCTTTCTCATCTGTGAAATGATTTATCGGATTGCTTTACTTGCCCAAATACGCCTCTCATCCAGTTTTCCCAGAGAGGGAATATTATTGATATTGTGAAGGAAAATAATATAAAATTAGGTTATAATGATTTTTCTCTGGGTCAGAAATTTTCTCAACATAGTATACAACTGATTCTAGAAGTCATTAAGACAAAGGGAAAATCTAGAGAGCACAGCAGAGGAAACAGCCACAGACAGTTTTTTTATTTATATTTCTACAGCAATTTGTCTCCCAAGGGTGCGTAGTAATTCCATTTCCAAGATAGATCCTTGCCCATGTATAGGAGAAAAATTATCTCTATATTAGAGTAGGATAACTATTTTTCAATACTATGTTTTTTGTTGCTGTTTTAAAATTTTACTTCTTTGCCGACCTTCCTCTGTTTGCACAAATATGACTACGTATTTAATCCTTCCAATTTTCACCTTCTACAATAAAAGACAGTGTTTTACTTCATTTTACCTTTTCAGGAAGAACATATTTTCAGGTGTATGAGACTGGGGGAGCTTCCTCATGGACTGAGCGTGTGGCCACAACCTTCTGGTCCGGGGCCTGGTATGGTCGAGTTACTGTGTGACTGAGATGCAACTTTGCATGACGAGATGATGAACCTACGTTAAAACTTTAATTTGAAAAAGTAGAAAATTTAAAAGAAAAGACACTGAAAATGGATGTCAGCTGGGCTATTCACAAAATGTTTTGGCCAATAAGGATTATTTGAAATCATAAAATACCACAGGGCATACGCAGGCGTGTCGGGCCACACAGACACCGCTTGGCACACCCGGCCGCTGGCTGCTGAGCGTGCAGCGCCCCAGGTGGGAGAGCCCGTCTGGCCACCAGCTGGCTCAGGATGTCTCAGCAGACGTGCTGCTCGGGGACCAGGTGTGTGCAGTGCAGCCTTTCCAGGCCCATGTGCCTCTGACAGGGCCCTTGCCCTCCTCTCCTCCCTTCTCAGATGGCTGGCAAGGAGGCCCTGCAGCCAGCCTCCCTGCGGAGTTCACATAAGATGCGCTCTATGGGGAAAGGCTTTGGGAAGGGCGTTTAGCTCTTTACTGGAAGATGGAGCAGCTGCACGCTCTGTAAAAGCCACAAAATCTGAAAACCAGAAGATTCCCCCAAACACGCCTTTTCCATGGGTCTGTCAGTCAAACACCAGGGCCCCACAGGTAGGCCAGGCTCCGGCACGGACAGGCTTGCTCGGGGCATGTGACCTGTGGGGCCCCACAGGTAAGCCAGGATCTGGCACGGACATCGTTGCTGAGGGCATGTGACCAGTGGGGCCCCACAGGTAGGCCAGGCTCCAGCACGGACGTCATTGCTCAGGGCATGTGACCTGTAGGGCCCCACAGGTAGGCCAGGCTCCAGCACAGACAGGCTTGCTCAGGGCATGTGACCTGTAGGGCCCACAGGTAGGCCAGGCTCTGGCTTGGACATCGTTGCTGAGGGCATGTGACCTGTAGGGCCCCACAGGTAGGCCAGGCTCCAGCACAGACAGGCTTGCTCAGGGCATGTGACCTGTAGGGCCCCACAGGTAGGCCAGGCTCCTGCACGGACAGGCTTGCTTGGGGCGCTCTGACTTGTAGCCTCAGGTCATAGCTTTCCACCAGTCTACAGCTTGCACTGCCAGGACCACGTGAACATCCCACAAGGTGATGAAAAGCCGCATTTCAGTAAACAGAAGAGCAGAGGACATGAATGAAAAAAGTCACAGGTGATCCC